AATAAACGATAAACGAAGATATAAACAATAAACCAACGTGTAATAAATAGTTGTCTGCACACATTAGGAAGATAAAGAGTTAGCGAACTCAATAAACGATAAACGAAGATATAAACAATAAACCAACGTGTAATAAATAGTTGTCTGCACACATTAGGAAGATAAAGAGTTAGCGAACTCAATAAACAATAAACCAACGTACAATAAATAGTTGTCTGCACACATTAGGAAGATAAAGAGTGAGCGAACTCAATAAACAATAAACTAAGATAAACAAGAAACCAACGTACAATAAATAGTTGTCTGCACACATTGGGAAGATAAAGAGTTAGCGAACTCAATAAACAATAAACGAAGATATAAACCATAAACCAACGTACAATAAATAGTTGTCTGCACACATTGGGAAGATAAAGAGTTAGCGAACTCAATAAACGAAGATAAACAATAAGAAAAAAATGAATTCGGGACTAAAAGTAAAAATAAATGTAATTTTAACAAAGGGTTATCAGGAAAAAAATGTTGAACAATTAAGAAAACTGTGATTTTTTGTTTGTTTAGTGCTAAGCCCCTCAGAATTACCGCTGAAGTTAAAATTTCAGCAAGTTTTCTGTACGTTTTAACACAAAACTGTTACTCACGACAGGATCGAATCATGAATTTTAGTTTTATAGCCACCTATAAAAAGACAAATACTTAATATAAAAGAGTAAAAAGCTGAATGAATAAGTGAGTATGAATGTCGAATATTAAGGAGTGTAAACTGGATAATATTATTCACATCCACGAGAACTGCGACCAACGAGATGTGGAAAATCGCGGCTGTTGTATAAATGCTGTGATATAGCTTCGTCATTATTAATGTCAATAATGTCTTATATTTATACTTTTGTGGTATAGGGATGTACCATAAGTTTCTTTATATAATATTAATGTTTGATTACATTTTTCACATAACACGCAGTCAAGAACACCATTGAGTTAATCTTGTTTCAAGTTTCTTTGTCATTCTCAAAATTAGGTGATACTTATTACTGCCCGTGGAGAACATTGCTACATGTGACCTTGTGAAAAGTTAGGGCAATGTCCTCCCTTGGTTGTATAACTTGTATAGATAATATTTAGAATGAGAATGAACAGGCATGTGGTATCACAGTCGCGCTGGAAAAATACGAGGTTTCGTTTTACATAGATACCCCTCACTTAATTAAACCGATTCATCCGAGATTGACCTGTTCGATTCCGTAAAGAAGCAACAGACATAAGTACACACACACACTGTGTTTTCGTTTGTTAAGTGTTGTGTTATTAGTGCATTACGCTTTGTGTTCATTACGGCTATTCCTAGACTTACACTTAACCGCTATACATCCAGCACTGTTCCATAATACCTTATCTTGTAAAATCTTCTGTTTAGCAAACTTACCCAATATAGCTGTAAAGATAAATTCAGTTTACCTTAATATACGACTCAGTTTATGACATTTCTCGCTCTATGGCGGTTCAGCAGTAACTCTAAGGGGTTATAATGCTAAAAATCGGGTTTAGATATGTGCAATAGAAAAAGCACAGATAGCCCATTGTGTAGCTAACAACAAACAAACGACAAGTCTCTTTCCATATAATTGTTTGCAAGAGCATGTCAATGAAAATACAGTAGATAAGGTAAAAGTGTAAACTATTTGCCTGAGATACAGAAGGATAATATTTTGTGTATTTTGCATATGCTAATGAAGTGGTATGTCGTCACAGGCGCGAGAAATGGCGCAACAGCAACATTTTTATGTCTAATATTTTGTTCATGGTAAATTCTCGACTATTCGACAGTACTACGACGTCACGGATAATATTATGGCTGGAAAGATATAAAAGCCTCTTCGAAGAGAAATATCATACATTGAAAATGGCTTTAAAAACACTGGAATTGCAGTTTACTTATTCGAACACTTCCTTATGAAGTCTACAGGTATAACTTCTATGGATGTTTATACCTTTGGTCTGCTTAAATTTAAAGATGGTATTGGAAGTCAATGTACAATGGAAATTCAGTGAAAAGTTTGTCCAAATGTAATTTAAGACTGACCTCGTTATGTTTGAATAAGATCGATACAGTAGAAACTGTGGTGTAAGTAACAGTTCTTAATCGTGACAATAAGGCTATTAACCACAATAAAACGTATTTTGGGGTACTAGAGCTAATGAATTTCTGGAAATAAGGAAGGTTACCAGAGGTAGTTGGACTGCCACACAGCCTCAAAGAATACTAACAAAAGCAATATTTAAATCAGTTATTACAAATATCTTCATTGCAGTTTCCACTTGAATGATATGGCGTGTTTAATTTCTCTAAAATCATGTGAATTAACCACATATAAATTATACTTTTTTTCTTTTTTTTTACTTAATTACATCTTGTTTGCTAAACAATTAAATTTCTTCATGGGAATAATCATTAATATTTTATTATTTGTTGTGAATACAGATTAGTTAGTCCCGGGAAGTGGTTAACAAAGTATTCAGTAATAGTTACCAATATCTACTATAATATTAACAGCATTAATATCTTGGAAGTTAACCTGTAAAACATCAGTCATCATAACCACTAATATCACTAGTTCAATGGCTCAGGAGAAAGTGAAAATGATGTAATGAAGTAAAACTTCTCCACAATCCGAAAATGGACATAAAGACGGGTGTTTAATTCATTAGCAAACCCCAAAATATATCAAATTAAACACTGGAAAAAAATTTTTAAATTCATACGAGATTCATCTATTTCATTAGTTTTAGTCTTCATAATTATCATACTTACGATAAAAAAGACGTCATGACAATAATTTATTTAAAAAAAGTTTATTGAATGCGCACAAAAACAAACACTACAGACTGAAACCACATATACTTGACTGCGGAATAATATGACTATCCTTACGATACATAAAGAAGTGCCTTATTTAGCACAACTTATATAACTAACATTTCTCGAATTACAGAAAACTGGAGATCATCACATCTAATGGAAATATTATCTGCAATGTTATTTGTATTTCTTGCTAAGACACACAGAGGGATCTAGCAGTATATTATTTTGTTTAACTTTAAATTTGTTTTCCTAAATATTTATCTAAAAGATTAAGAAAAGGGTGAAAAATTAACAAAACTCAATAACTTACAATATCGCATTAAAAATAAATAAATCTTTTGTCCTAAGTGTACACCAATTAAGCGTACGGTGTCTCAGGTCTTTACAAAGAACTAACAATTTACATATGATGAAAAAAGGACTACTTTTTATTAAAAGAAGTTAAAATAATCAACGCCTACAGAATTATCCATAAATTAGTTACATCAGAGCAGTATACTAAATATTTTAATTTTCAGCTGTTTGAGATTAATATACGAATATGCTTGAACAGTACCTAAGCATGGAACACAGAGAGGCTGACAAAGAACCATAGAACATAGTCGCTGCAAAGCAGATGCTTTCCATGTAGAAAGCACTTACTTATATGGTGTCTAACTTTTGGACTACTGAACTTCAGTCAATTATTATTATCTTTTTTTTATAGACAGTGTATACTTCACAGAAATGTACAGAAGTCCAAACTCACAGGAAGTATGACATCGTATTGTTTGCTGAACTTCAGGTCAAAGACTTTATCACCGCGTTACTCCTATAAATATTTGGTTTAACGTCAACATGAACGCAGTCTCGTAAAAAATGACTTTGCGACAAAATGTCATTTTGCGTCGTGATATTCGAAAATTAGGCTATCAGCAAATAACGTTGTCAGTTTTGAAAATGTCTCCAAGAATCAAATTCAATACACACACAAGTTATGGCATGTTCAGATGATATCTACCAGGAAACATCATAGCCAAAACAATGTCTCATTTGTTTTGCATTAACATAAAAAAGTCAAGTGGCCTATAGTTTACTCCGCCATATTGGGCGTCAAGTGCTTACATTTGTCTTAGGTGAAATACGACAAACTTGTCTTCCAATATTGTGTTATCTGATGCGGTAAATCAACTGAGCGATGTGCACAAAGAAAGATATATTTAGAAACTGAATGGCCGTACAGTTTCAGATCCCTATCTTTTGCCAAAGGCGATTTTTACGTCACTGACAGCTTTACCGAATCATGTATTGATATGGATTGGTAGAAGGGAATGTTTGACGTCCAACATGGCGATGTTTAACGAAACAGGAAGAGTTATAAAAATTGTAGTTAACGCTTTATAAAACACAGTTTTTGTTCTGTTTTAAGCCAAGGGTCTAAAATTCGAATTTTACCATTGATGAATTCCTGACATTAAGTATAGAAACTATTTATCCCAGTGAACTAAATCATAAGAAAAAACGCACAGTAAAATTCTAGGGCGAAACGACTGAATGGACTTCACCATCCATCCAATCAACTTTGTTTAAGCCTATGTACATCATATCATATATCATAGCATACATGAGGCAAAGTTTATAAATAAAATTCATATTAATCACATTCGACATCACAGAATTTCATGACAATCAGAGACATGGAGATGTTTACAAAAGTGTTTTCTTTGTCTACGTAATAACACTAGAAATATATATATATGCATTGTATTTTAATTAAATGTGTCAAACTATTTACAAGTAGACGAATATATATACACTTACAGCCAAAGTTCTGTGAGTAAGTTAGTATTATATTCAAGTCAAATTCCATCAATATATTTCATATATATATATAGCTACTATTGTCGTACAATTATACACATGGTTGGTTACCTTTTATACGTCAAAACTGAACCTAAAGAGTTATATCTTTTTATAAGTAAGTACAAATAGCTTCATTACAATTAGGCTGTGGTATAAATTACAATGGTAATACTTTGGGTTATCTTGCAAAATGACTGTTTACATAAGTGACACATAACCCGTTGAATTTAGGTTCAAAACCCGTCCAAGGTAGTTCATTTCCATAAGAATAATATGCGAACAATAAAAATACAGCAAAAATATTTTGGATAATATGACTAAAAGAGCAGTCGAGCTACCACAAACACAAACAAAAGATCTTAGAAATAAGATCCAATTAAAAAGGAAGAAAAAAGTCACTTTTACAGTCTGGGCTTTACATAGAGTTAAAAATTCGTACATCTGCATATACAGAGAATTTTACGACTGAATTTTCACATTATACTTTACACAAAATAAACTACAATTATTCACTACAGTTATTACCGGAAACCCATTCAATATATAGATTTCATACGATGTACTACTTTTATGTTTTATGTTAATAACTGAAAAATGTTGTTTAATGTTAGGCTACGAACGTGGTCCCCAACAGCTAGAGCGTAGAAACATGCAGCGACAATTATCCACTACAGTTATTACCGGAAACCCATTCAAAATATAGATTTCATACGATGTACTACTTTTATGTTTTATGTTAATAACTGAAAAATGTTGTTTAATGTTAGGCTACGAACGTGGTCCCCAACGGCTAGAGCGTAGAAATATGCAGTGAATGCATAATTTTATTCATATTATTGAATTTTCAAATCGTTTCATACAGCGTGCTTCATATTTATAGATCATGCTGCGGTACAAGCCCGACTTTAGGCCAAACGATACGAGCTTTTTACAAAGATTTTGCCAGTCCGTGAAGTGTAAAAGGTTGGGTTACACATATACGAATAAACAATTTTTTTCTTTTGGTGTAAAACACACTTAAGTTGACGGAATAAACTTTTTTCTTTCTTTGTGTCGAATACGCACTCTGGCAAAGTATGATTTTTTTTCTCTCAGCATAGCTACAGACAAGAATGTTACTTCACAAACACACTTCTATATGAATTGTTTCATTGCAAAAACTTTGAGGAGGCGTGAAAGTAAATTTTACAATGGATACAAATCGTTTCAGAGCGTACCGCTTATAAATTCTAGTTTTGAGCTTCCTAGTAATATTTTTGTAAATAATTGTTTTATATCAACATTATTTACAACAAATCTTTGGTAATATAATATTTAACTTCTTAAGTTACATTAATATCAACATTCGATAATATAAATAAATTGCAGGCTTGCCTCTCAAAATTAAGGCGGGAATGGGGCCAACCATGCGTTGTGACGTCACACGTGAAAACATCTACAGTCTAGATAGAGCAAGTTCGTTTTTATCTACTTAAATACTTCACTTCAATTTCACTTATTTAAGTATTTCACCAAAATTATTTTAATGTGTAATTTACGCAAACATAAAAATGGTTAAAAAGTGTATTCTGAATTAAAGTAAAGAATGTCGTACGTTGGAATTATTTCTGAGATAAATATTTCACTGATTTTTCACTAATATTTCGTTGATAATTCACACATGCAGGAATCATCCACAGAGAAATCTCAGCTACAAGGTTAGTTATGAAACCAAACACTCCTCAACAACTGCGAATTATTCTTACAGTGGTTTTGTAATATGCTATTAAGAGCAGCATTCGTTAATCGAATTTCTATGAAATAATAAAACTGTTTTGTTTTTATGTCACTACTTTGCTCCAACAACATTTGACAACTTGACTATGAAAGCTTTATGTTACAAATACAATAACCATACACACTTGAGCAACTCGAAAATTCCGCAGGTTCACTTTGCTCAATGAAGCAATGGCACAGTGTAACACAGGGATATATTTGTTTACTTCACGCAAACCATTTGGTCTGTCATACGACACTTCAGCTCTTGAGTCTTGAGCATGTGACCAAGAACTCCAGAACAGATGTTACGTAACTGTGTGATTATTCTGATAATCTTATTTTTGTTTTGACATCATATTACTAATAAAATAATAAAACAACTTCCTGATTGCTGTTAGACTGAGAAAGCAGTTTGTTTCACCACGAAATTCAAAAGTTCACACTGAGACGCTAATGAGAAAGGACAAAGTTTAAATACCTCCTCCCCCACATAACGCCTACGCTTCTGAAGAAAGGGGGGGGGGGAGTGTCATACCTCTACATAACTGTGGGCAATATTATAATGAGGAGACGAATATGAATAGAACCTTACTAAAATGACAGTGAACGGGATTATAACCGTCTGGACACTTAAAAACATCAAGTCTCTAAACGTGGGCTCTTAGAACTTTATCTTGGTATTTGGCCATATCATCATGAATAGCTGTCAACGTTTTGTAAATGAATTTGAAAGAGGGTCTGTTGCTAGGCTTTCTGGTCCAACAATTCTTCATCAGGTTGTAGATGGACGAGGGAGTGTTGTCCTGACATGACAAAATATTGCCTTCCTGAACGTACTTGACCACTTCCTCGTGGGTTAAACCATAATAGGGTTGGAGGCCAAAGGAGAATACCTCCCACAATACCACTCCAAAAGCCCAAACGTCTGACTCTACTGTGAATTTATTAAAGAGAATTGACTCTATGGGCATCCATCGGATTGGAATAGCATCGTGTTCGTTACCCTTGTAGTAGTTAGAAGTGTAAATTTTCTGAGAAAGACCAAAATCTGATATTTTCACAACCATGTCATCACTGACAAGACAATTCCTGGTAGCCAGGTCTCGGTGGACGAACTTACGGTCAGACAGATATACCATTCCTGCTGCGATTTGTTTAGCTAAGCTAACAAGATCCAGGTGACTAAGCCTAACATCACTAAACATATCACAATTTGGAGTCCGAACAATGTAATTGCTCGGGGCACAAGATCTGAGAAATTCATTCAAGTCCCCTTTCCCCATGAACTCAAAGAGCAAACACATAGGTTTACCAATTGCACAGACTCCCAGCAACTTGACTATATTAGGATGGTCAAAATCAGCCAGTAGACACGCTTCTCGTTCAAAGTCTGTTTGAAGATCTTCTGAGGCTTCTTCCTTGAGCATTTTCACAGCAATCATGGTAAATTCTTCTCCTTTAACAAGACCTGGTGCTTTAGCTTGAAAGACCCGACCAAAAGCCCCTTGTCCGATGTCACAGATGTAAATTATGTCATTACGAGGGTATTCTAAGTTCTCCAATTTGGGATTCAGTTGCACGTCTGTCTTGTGATAAGACATGTTAGATGGAAGTTTGTCCAAGTCAATCTCTACTTCAGCGGTAGGAGTGGCGTTATAGCCTTTTTGGAATTTGTGAAGCCGCCGACAACACAAGAAAATGGCCAGGACAACTGCCACACCTGTTAAGCTGACAGCGCACACGATAAGAATGAAGGAAGGAGTAAAAACGGGTTCTTCCGGGGGTTCAAACGTGTCCAAAAGTTCGGTTTTGGTTTCTTCCTCCACAGTGGCGTTTTCTGAGTGATAAATGAAATAATAATAATAATTTAGCATATTTCATTTCATGTGCATCAAACGTCGTATTAAAAGCAATATAAAAAAATTACCGCAATTTTGTAAAACATAATTAAGAAATCGATAATTGTTGCCATAAGATTCACCTATACATGTCTCTTGAAATCACAGTTAAAATTAACAAGTTGAGTACAATCAGGGGATGACGAGTAACAAGCGAAGAACATGGGGAGGTATTGTTCCCCATGTAAGCACTCACACAGGTTTTAATTACATACCACACTTAGGAATATCGCAGTGCTGCCAACGAACCATCGGATCCATTGTATAACACCATGGTCTTGGTTCTTCACCACCTGCATTCCGACAAAAGTTTTCTGAGTTCAGGACTTCCGGGAAGACCAACGGAGGGCGATGATGTTTATGAGGTTCCTACAAGAAATACAGATGAAGATTTGTGTGTTTTGATTTATTATCATAAGGAATTGGTTACTTCTTAAATACCAACAACAACAACAAGTAGAAACACAGAATGTTAAGTTGAAACTCATCCATTACACAGAAATGCGAACGGGATAAGCTTCAGAACGTTTCGTTAAGGCTTAAGATATATAACTTTGTTATTTCTAAACTTTGATTGACGCGAAACTATATCGTTGACATGTATTCCTTAGCCTGATTTTCTGGTGGTTTACCTTCGGTGGAATTTCTGGTGGAAGTACCAAGTTGATTTTAGTCTTTGCTTAAAGAATTACATCAGGAGTAGAAGTGGCTGAATACTATTCTATAAAGAGTTATTGGAAAATGTATGCAAGATTTTAGTACATTTTCGTTTTGTATTTAAGTGCTTGTTTCAGTCTTGTTCTCTGTCTGATGTTCTGCATAATCTGAGTTTCCAGTTACAGTCCCTTCCCCCCGGCAGTAAGTATTTTTAGTAGTTACAGCTAAAGGTAACAGCTGTTGTGAGCGAAACGTCGACCAGGGTTTTTGTAATGTGAGTATGTGTTTAAAAATTAATTATTATTCCTCATCCTATTTTAGTTGTTCGCGCTTACCTTTTACAGTTTACTACTGGAATGCCTCTACCTTTTCATGACCGATAAATATATATATATACGCATATAAACACTATATATGGTAATTAGCTTCTCTACTCTGGTGAGTTTTATGCATTTAAATCTCTTATCATTGTACTTCACACCTTCCTCTGCAACTAATGAATGTTTATGTTTCAATGGTCTAAATAAACGGACGTCACAAAAGTCACGCTCTGTATACAATGACTTGGTTAACTGACGAAAAAGGTCATTCATACTGGTATTTATACTGGCTTCAACAAAAAAAGATATTCCCTCGCACGTGCCTCGGATTTTTGCTGACGTAACTACTCCTAGCATACGTTTAAAGCTATAATGGAAAAAGCGTAACTATATAACTGTTACAAATTAAAATGCACGTAAGAAGTAATTTTGATAAATTAAATCACAAAAACTGGAAAAGAATATTCTTGCTCACTGGAAAATGTGATTTTACTTCCCGGGTGAATGCGATGCGAGTTGGGAGAGTATATTTCTTTTTCCGTAAAGAAGTCTAAGCGTCCTAGCCTACATACTTAACGACCTCTTAGACGACAAGGGACGCCCACCCTAGTAAATTTATTCAAATTTTGCTATATCTTTGATTAGAGATTTTCTATTCCAACACGACCAAAAAGCTACAGATGTATGTTCAAGGATTAGAATAAGCTGGAGCCAGAGAGCGTTTTCGTGACATTATCTAATAATGGAAAACTCTTTTTCTTTTTTCTCGATTCGCGTGGCACTCAACTTCTCAAGTAAAAGAAACGAGATACTCTAGAAACAACTATACTTACATTCCCTGATGAGCACTAGGTTACCAACAACATTCTACGTACATTCAGTGCATGACATTCCCATTAATTCCGTGCAGTTCCTTTGGGGTTTTAGAAACGTGGAGAAAGTAAACCGAAACTTCATCTAAATCTTAAGTGAATAGCAGCTCATGCAAACACTGGCCGATATGTTAATTCTGCCTAATTATCATTAATGGTTCGTCTACTGATGTCACTTGAAACTAGCGTGTTACAAGTGCTTTTGTCAATTGTGGATTAAAGTAACACAGATGTATCATGCATAGAATAACACTTGACGTTTCGTCTTGTTGTTCTTTCATATAAATATCAATCAAACAGTATGTCACGTATTATTAATTTTTTTAAACATCATTCAATAATTTTTCTTGGCTGTTGTTGTTGTTTGTTATCAAGTACAAAGCCGCACAAAGGGTCTATCTGTGCTCTGCCCACCACGGGTATCGAAACCAGGTTTCTAGCGGTATAAGTCCGCAGACATGCCGCTGTGCCACTGGGGGGCACTTTCTTAGTCAAAGTGTTGATAAATTACTTATATACATTTTTTAAAGTTTATCATAAACTAATCCGATAGAAATTGACAGTCCACAAATTGCTAGACGGTTAAAGTTGGTAATAGGTGTGACAGTACATCACAGTAAAATGATCACCTTATTTTAACACGCCCCTCTTCACTGATCTAATATAGTTTCCAGTAAGAAGGGTGTATAATAAGATTCCATTTATTTCTATGGAAGAAAGCCAAAAGACCACCTGGAGGGGTCAGTTGTTTTAACCACTCGCACTACTATACAGTAGTGTGTTGTTTGTCATTCAGTCAGTAGGCTACAACAGAGCATGACAGATTAACTTCAAAAGCCAGAAATAAAAACATATATTACTCTTAATTTTGGTTTTATTTACACTTGAAACAGAACATTTTCGAGGACTCTGCGGAAGTATATTTAGTCGTATACCAACGAGTATGCATTTATAATGACAGAATAAACAACAAAAAAGAACAATGCATTTACTGAAAAATTACATACTTAAGTTAATCGTAACAATGTTCACTGGGAAATACCAATATAATACAACTGACTCCAAATAAAAGTTCTCTATCAGATATCCACATCTTCTTAACTTTATCAATCGATAATATCGTTTAAGGGTAAAGAATGGGTACTGAATACCCAGGAGATCACCATGGTTGCAACGGTAGCATAAAGTACTTCATTGTTTAACTGTTGTGTTGTCTAATGCTAAGTATATATAAACCAGTAATATCACGAAGAACCATGCCACTCAGGAATGAGTAATTGCTTGTATGATACGAAGTAAGACTTAACTTCCACCACGCCTGCATAATATAGCCTTTTACCAAGATATTATATATAATAGTGTCTCAGGGAAAGTTTAAAGTCTCGGTTCGAAGCTAAAGCCCAGAAGTTTTTGTAAATCAAAATACACACAAAAGAAACTTTATCTTTTTCCCTTTGTATAGTGTCTTCAAAGTAGCTAATTGCCAATCTATACCGCAATAACGTTAACGCTATATTTTTTATTCAGAGATCTATAACAGCACAGTGCATTCAATTATTTAGAAACCCGAGGCGAAGGAACTAGAGCTATCGGACTCTTAAACACTCCTCCGCCACCACATAATCGAACAAAGTTCAACTACCGGACACGACATCAGTTTGAAAGAAGCTGGAAGACAGCTAATGGAAACGCTGTTACCATAACTACTTTCAAAGAAGATAGTTAATCGAAACACTGTTACCATAACGACCTTCGCGGACAATTATATCCGATATTCGAGCCAATTCTGGTGATTAACAGAGTACCCAAACTTTTAATCGCATAACTACTTTTCGTTTCAATTCAGCATAAAATATAAAACACGGACATACTTAAATAATCCACAAATAATTCTGACAATTCTTAGCTAACAATACCATAAGAAACTTCAGTTTTTAATCCTTAAATTATCGACTCGTTTTATATCGTTCACTATTGGTGTAATATCCTGAGATTAATTGCAATGCTAACCGTATGTTTGTGTGTGAGTATTATGTTATTAGGTATCCTATAACAATGTAATAATCCACAAATAATTCTGACAATTCTTAGCTAACAATACCATAAGAAACTTCAGTTTTTAATCCTTAAATTATCGACTCATTTTATATCGTTCACTATTGGTGTAATATCCTGAGATTAATTGCAATGCTAACCGTATGTTTGTATGTGAGTATTATGTTATTAGGTATCCTATAACAATGTAATAAACTCACAAGTAATTTGGTGTGTCAACAGTTTAGAAAAATTGTAAAAAGTTGATGGAGTTCATCCATACAATTCAATAGGGTTAAACTATCAGCAGACATACTATATGTATTCAAACACCATGTAGGTAGCGAAAACAAAATACTATATATATATACATATGCTTAAACTGTGGAAGAAGAAGAAGCGAATATATAACAACAACAAATAAAAAAAAAAAAAGACGTCATGTTGAAACAAAGTTACGACACTACTATGTCATACGACTCTTAGGGGATGGATTCCCGAACCTTCTCAGCCCAAGACACCCCCAAAAACATGCCGCATCTTGATTAAGGCCCCCACGCCCACCCACTCATTGAACCTATAGACACTGGATACATTAACAGTTCTCTGTATATGCTATGGCCCCTCTAATACTTTCCTGTGGCCCCCGGCGGTATACATCCCCCAGTTTGAGAACCCTGACTTAGATGATATAAAACTTATTACATAAATATATAAAAATGAGTCCTACATACTTCTATTGTTGAGATAAATACAGTTATTACTCACTTGCGAATCCCATCTTTGACAAGAAATTCCTGATTTCGTGATGTTAACGGTTCCTTGATAATAGCGCCCTCTTCCAAAAATACACTCCGCTTTGAAACAAACAACATAAAATGAATTCTGGAAAATAATTTCATAAGTAAACTTATTTCTATTAAGTAATGTTTATCAACATACAAAATTAAAAAATCAAGATACTTCTCTAACTACCCGTATAGTATAGTATATATATTATAATCTAAGCGGTTTTCTGACTTGTAATAATTGCATTACGAATACATTATATACAGTTTGGAACTGGTATTCACATTATCTACTGGCGTGAAAATATCTCCATAAAACATTCAGAGGGCTTCTGCACGCGGTAAATGAGTTCCATACATAAGATACAGTCTCCACTCCACAAACACAATCGCGTTCATTTGCATAATATCCGTGAATCATACCAGCATCCCTGCGATGGACACAACGCAGATAGCCCATTGTGTAGTTTTGCGCTTGAACAAAAATAAACAGTAATTACATTCTTAAAAGGCGTTTTTTTATATATTGTTCGGTCATACAAAAGTTAAAAAACCATCATATCAAAGTTAGCTTTTTGAAAAAAAAATAATAAGCGACTCGATTTTGAGTGAGCTCCTTCTATGCTTTTTTCTTCCTCTATCTTTTGTTAAGGAAGTTTTTCTAGATATTTTTTTCAATCCCAATCAGACACGATTTGCAGAAATTAGAGTTCCTTATTATTAACCTTGTATGAAATAATAATACACTAATTCTGTGCTGTATTGTTGTTCTCTAAGTCCGTGCATTAAGGAAAAAACAAAACTGCTATTTATTTACTCGTAAACCGATATGTGGGTTTTCCTCTTGATCGCCACATCATCTTTGGATTTCCATGCATATGCGGGTACGAATTCCCGTTACCCCAAACATGCTTGCCCTTTCAGCCGTGGGGGCGTTATAAAGTTAAGGTCAATCCCACTATTCGTTGGTAAAAGAGTAGCCCAAGAGTTGGCGGTGGGTGGTGATGACTAGCTGCCTTCCCTCTAATCTTACACCCCTAAATTATGGACGGCTAGCGCAGATAGCCCTCGTGTAGCTTTGCGCGAAATTAGAAACAAACAAACAATCCACGCATACACATAAAAATCATATGAAGTTTATCTTACAGTATAAAATAATTATGCCCACGTAAATTAAAGGATATATTAAAGACTATTTATTTGTTAAGAAGTGGTTTTGTCTTATTCTTCTTAACTAACTTTTAAAATGAATGGTTAATAGGCTTTCAAAATAATGGGTTGAATATAACTGTTTTATATACAATGAAAAATGATAGCCTCTTTCTTACGTAAAACAGTCAATTCATTTTTAATGCTAGCAAGATATGAATGTTGAATGGTTCTTACTTGTGATCTCATCTTCTTTCATCTCCGTTAGGCGTGCCCAAGAACAAAGAGGGACGGGAGAGTTTCCCTGGCTGGGGAGGGATTCACATTGCGGTAATCTGAAGTGTCCCCGAGACTGGAAGTATATGCCTCTTTCTTTGTTATCTTCAATCTGAGCCCACTGGTTATAACAGAATAGTTCCCGGACTGCTATACAATCTTCCCTGAAGACGAAGAAACGTGTTAAGAAGGCTACTGTACAAGTGTACGCCTATCGAAACATAACAGCTGATAAAATCTGTATCAGTCATTCACACAATTACTCTATAGCTTGTGAATATAAAATAACACATACAACTATGGAAGTAATTCACACAATTACTCTATAGCTTGTGAATATAAAATAACACATACAACTATGGAAGTAATTCACACAATTACTCTATAGCTTGTGAATATAAAATAACACATACAACTATGGAAGTAATTCACACAATTACTCTATAGCTTGTGAATATAAAATAACACATACAACTATGGAAGTAATTCACACAATTACTCTATAGCTTGTGAATATAAAATAACACATACAACTATGGAAGTAATTCACACAGAGCTCTGTGAAAAAAGATGAAAACCAATCAAAATATCCTAATTATACTTAAGTTATTTAAAAACGAAAATGTGTATATACAAGATACCACATAACACACACCTAATTGGTGGTTACATACTGAATAATTACTAAACACTATATAACAAACACTAAATTGGTTCTTATATACTGAATAAGTAATAAACGCTACATAACACACACTTCACTGGTTGTTACATACTGAATCAGTACACTACATAACAAACACTAAATTGGTTCTTACATACTGAATAAGTATTAAACGCTAGATAACAAACACTTCACTGGTTGTTACATACTGAATCAGTACTAAACACTACATAACAAACACTAAATTGGTTCTTACATACTGAATAATTACTGAACACTATATAACAAACACTAAATTGGTTCTTACATACTGAATAAGTATTAAACGCCACATAACACACACTTAATTGGTCGTTACGTACTGAATAATTACTAAACACTATATAACAAACACTAAATTGGTTCTTATATACTGAATAAGTATTAAACACTAGATAACAAACACTTAACTGGTTGTTATATTCTGTATAAATGCTAAACACTACATAACAAACACTTAATTGGTTGTTACGTTTTGTATAAATTCTAAATACTACATACCAAAGACTTCATTAATTGTTACACACTGAATAAGTACTAAACACTACATAACATACACTTCATTGGTTGTTACATACTGTATAGATACTAGACACTACATAACACACACTTCACTGGTTGTTACATACTGTATAAATATTAAACCCTACATAACACACATTTCACTGGTTGTTACCTACTAAATCAGCACTAAACACTACATAACACACACTTCTCTGGCTATTACATACTGTCAAATATTAAACACTACATAACACACACTTCACTGGTTGTTACATAATGTCATATATTAAACACAACATAACACATAGTTCACTGGTTGTTACATACTGTCTAAATATCAAACACTACATACACACACTCCATTGACTATTAGATATAAGAACTAAACTATATTATCAAATGTATACAGATATATGCTCAATATGCAGTAAACAACGGAACGTTTGCTATGTAGTGCTCAGTACATAATAACCAACGAAATACTTGTTATGTAGTGTACAGTTCACAATAATGAACAGAATGTTTATTGTGTAGTGTCAATTATACAATAATCATAGCAAAATGGTTGTGTAGAGTTTAATATTTATACAGGTAAAAGCTATATTACTCAAAGTACTAATGACGTCTTTGAAAATCAGATGACAAGTGTCGCCGCCATATTGATACGAAGTAACTACTTTTGGCGTTAATCACAGCATGAGCTCTGTCACAAGTACTTGCTATCAACAACAGGTACACATTTGGTGAAATATATCGCCACTTTTCTTGAAAAGCAACTTTAAGTGCACTGAGATTTCGGGGTCTTTCTCTCAGATGGTGTTCCAAAATATTCGGAATGGTTGAACATAATTCAGATCAGTTTGTTTTTTTTTACTGGTCAAGGCAAATTCTAGAAAATATTTGTCCCAGAGCACTACTGGACTCCATGTAGTACTACATGGTGAGTTAACATGCTGAAAGAGGCAGGGGTGGAAGGAGGATTTTGGAATGTGGAGGTTCAAGTCTGGGACCAGAATATAAACTTAATGATACATAGGCCTAGTTGCAATGTTTTCATCCCTGTGTGTTTGTCAGCAAGATTTCTCGAAAACGACTAAATAGTATACATTTGGACTATGACCTAACTCAGAAGTGATTAGTTTTTGGAGGGTCAAGATCATGAATACACGAAAAAAAAAACTATCTGTTAACATGAAAACCTATTTTTTCACACTACTTTTGCTCTACAACCTAGTCAAAAATGATCGGATTTTGATGAAACTTGGTGGACATATGTAGAATATTGTTCCTCATTGTCCTGTCAGAAATGGTCCGTTGATAACGACGGACATACAAACACATTTTCGTATTTTTTGAAAGCCGAATATAATCACAACTGTGTGGAGGAGGTATGCGCTCTACTGAGTGCCCCTCTACTTCCCTAATAATATGTCAATGAATAGAATAATCATATCATTATTGTTTTAAAAAGTATTATCATTATTTTTGATGATATACTTGTTTAAAATTTCAAAAAACGGTAAAGTTACTTATATTTATTTCAGAGCTGCAGAAACTGAGTAATTAAGTCTCCATACTTATCTTTTTTTTTGCTCTGGAAAAAAGAGGGAATCTTGACCCCCAACCTGTATCTGCCCTTCAAAATATGTTCCTATCCCATAGGATCCCAATAGTTCAAGTACAGTAGTATTTAGTATTCGGGATGTCTCATTACAACAAGAATTTCATAGCTTCGTGTATACTATCTCTGAACCCAAATCTAAACTAGCTAAAACAGCACTATAACATGATGTTACCTTACAACTCTTCATGGTTAGAATACTACGTGGGTTTCCGTCAAACACAGACTCGCTCATTCCAAACAAACCATGAGCGGCGGGATTCGTCCCTAATTTTAATGTTCAAGACACTACGAGAGACAACATTTTTCATTCACGACTCCGCAACTCATTCACGAAATCCTGCAGCATGGAGTTCCCTGCTGGTCTAGAGCTCTAACTCTCTGTAAAGTCCTTGATGATTCCTTTAATGCCAAGTGTAAAGTGTCGTTTCATATGATAAAAACTTCCAATTGAATAGAGGGGTGGCACATTTTTGGCTTCCAAACCATTCCACTTGTACTCCCTTTTTTTTTTTTTGTATACAGTGAATTTGGGTATAAGTAGAAGAACGGAGATATTATGGACGCTCATACCATTAGGATTGCATCCAATAACCATTTGTATATGAAAGTCTTCGAGTTCTTTCATTTTCAGCATCTTGACTCCAACTGGTTAGTTGTAGTAGCTACTGGTCATTATCAAACTCACGAATGGATGTTTTTCCATACGAATTACATGGTACACTCCAATACTTTTGCTAATGTAGTGTCCATCTGCATACATACTACACAAAGCATAGCGAATACTCTGTTGACTACTGCAAACTAAACATGTTAAACACTGTTTCAAATTTTGAAACAAAACATCTCCCGTTACTCACCTACACAACTCTTTCCCTGTTTGGAATCCTTCAACCAGCTGACACTGAGGAAAGGCATAAGCACACAACAGTTGTTCAGCAGCAGTGCGGCAGGGCTCCATTAGTGACGATATAAGCTCCTCCCACAAGTCTCGTGTGATCTCTTCATTTATCCCCGGTGTGGTGTCACTAAAGTTGTAGTAGACAAGTCCTGAATTATTCAGGTATTTCCTGCATACCTTGCCAACATAAGGTGAACAGTAGCCTTGTGGTTCTCTAGTCTTAACATCAAATGTATGTTCATCTATTTCCTCTTCAATTACGAGTTCTTCAGTACCAACTTCTTCTTCTGGTTCTAAAATAAATGTCCGATAAAAAGAAAAAAATTATTTCTAATATGCAAAAATACAATAATAAATGAAGTCCTAGGTAAGACATTAACTTCAAATCACCACTTCATCTAATATCATCATGAAGTTTACTGGGTTAATTACCTGGTTTGGGAAGAACATGTACAGTAAACTCTTTGCTGTCTGTTTGCGTCTGGTTGGTACTTCGTAGTTTATTAACCGCCTGACATGTGAATGAAGCCGACTCCGTGGCAGTAAAGGATAAAATGGAATGGAAAAACTCAGGCTTTCCTGTAGGCAGCTATGCGTCACGGAAAAAAAGAGAATAAGACATTATCTAGTCAGCTAGCTAGTTACAATACAAGCATATATTGTTTGTGTTTAATAAGTTAATATTATGTTCAAGTTATCAACTTACCTGCCACTCATAAATTATAATGATTTAAGAAACAATAATTTGGGCGAATTCTAACAATTCATTTTAAAACGTAAAACTCAGAAATTTTGAAAAAAAGACAAAAAACGCTGAAATAATAGTTATTTGTCTCCTAGTTACAAATCATTTATAGAATACTATATAAAACTTCTTTTATTTCTTATATTTCCTAAACAGATTCACTATACGCTATTAGAGACACTATTTGAGATTTACTTCGTCTGTTGCACATGAGTTGAGATGTTTCTATACAGTCAATTAAAATTCGGAAATCCTAGCGAACAAAAATGAAAAAAGCTTAAGAAAGGCCACCAGCGGCCGCCGAAAACATAGAAGTTTTAAAGTGTTTTAAACTGATATTAAATCAATCTGGCGAAATAGATATATATGGATCATTCTTGTATTGCATAACGGTTGTTTGGCAGCATATAAAGGGTTCCGATCGACAGCAGTCTGGCTTCGATCTCCTTTTAAAAATATCGTTGAGGGGCTAATCTTTGTTTACAACAGTTCCTAGTTCTTCTGCCCGCAAGTGTCTTCAAAATTATCAATGTGTAGAAAAACCATTATATTAATGTGATAAGTATATGAAAAATTGAATATTCAGATACTTTTATATATATGAAAGTGAACATTAAATAAGTATGTAGATAATTCGATAACATTCAGATGCAATCGTTTAAAAAAATGGCTCGTGTTGGTGTAACCTTAATCATTTTGGACAATTATATAAGTCCGTATCTATAGAGTAAAATCTTTTGTTAGTTTTTTATAGCTCAAAATCACACAACGCACCATCTTAGCCTTGGTCATCGCAGGGAATCGAACCCTGGATTTTAGCGCTTGAAGCATATAAACTTACCGCTGACTACCAAAAGCCAGAGTAAAATGAAAGGAAGTGAAAGGTAGAAAACAAAAGTTGAATCTATCAGTCAAAACCACAAAACTATAGACGTTTTATCACTATATGTGATAACATCAAGTTAGTCACACAACCCGAAGTGCCCCCCAGTGGCTCAGCGGTAAGGCTGCGAGTTTATAATGCTAAAAATGGAGTTTCGATACCGGTGGTAGGCACAGCACATACAGCCCATTGTGTAGCTTTGTGCGTAACTACAAACAAACAAAAAACTGTTGTATTCTACATTTCATTCATAAAGCCACTAAAATCATCGAGTATAAAAGTTACAATTAAAAAGATAGAGATTGTTGAAAATTAGAATGTGAATTGTGTGGCACTCCTTATATAATTTTCTGTTCACTTAAATCTAATTCTTTCTACATCTGTTTATTATGTTTTGAAAGTTTCTCTTAAATGTATCAAGCTGTATGGATTTTTTACGTCGACAGTAAAAACAACAAGTGGACCCAAAGAGAAGGCCTACCAAGTTCACAAAATTAATGAATAAAACAATGTTAATAATTAGAAGTTGCGTTTATTTTCCAACAATTTAGTCACTGAAATATCCAAACTAAAGCAAATTCGAACTATCCATCTGTATACGAAATGCTAAGTTGAAGTATAGCTGGCTATGCTGGAACGGACACTGATGTTGTAGAGAGACTTTGAAATTGTGTTATCGATGATATATCTTAACGCTACAATCAGTGTGGCGACATCTTCTTTAAAGTAATAAATAACAGTAGTAGATACAAGGAATATTTCGTTGAGTAACAACTCCTATAAGGGCGGTGTTATACTGATAACTTTCATTCTTAAATCTCAGGCTGGGACTAATTAGCTTAAATTAATATAACGGTCAGTTCTGAGAATTATGGATAATTATCGACGAAAAGATAAAGCTAGAGGAATAACACCAGTAAAAATATTAAGCTCTAAAGCTGGAGAAATAGCTTCAGAAAAAGATTAAGCTCTAAAGCTGGAGAAATAGCTTCAGTAAAAAGATTAAGCTCTAAAGCTGGAAAAATAGATTAAGTAAAAAGATTAAGCTCTAAAGCTGGAGAAATAGATTCAGTAAAAAAATCAAGCTCTAAAGTTGGAGAAATAGCTTAAGTAAAAAGCTTACTTGTTCTACATGAATACTGGAAGACAATCATTATCTATCGAACAATGGTAACTAACTGCCTTACGAAAGCTAAGTTATACATCTATCAAATTTTCGAGATGATTTAACGCCCGTTTTTCTTGAATAATGTCCAAACTTCTGAATATGGAAGTTCCTGACTTGGCATAACCCAGATGGCCCACTGACACCTCATCTGTAACCCAGCAGCATTTGTACATAGGAATTTGATGTACTAGCTCTACTAAAACTCCCATCTTTATACTTTGCTTGTCAGAAATTAATCGTCGCAGTGAATCAATGACATGATCACCCCAAGGTTTTCATCGCCAAAATACAACTACACATACTGTATCTACATCAGTGTTTTGATGATGAACGAGGGTTGGGCGACGCCAAAAAGTATACGTTCGTCGGTACAATAATAACTGTGAGAGCGCAAAGGCATCAATCATAAATGAAAAGAATATCTTTGTCTTAAATCTTCTGAATCTCTCACTTTCGCTGCTTCCCTTAAACTATAAACATATGCACACTGGATTTCATAATGATTTATATATAGTGCTATACAAAAGACATGACCAAACTAATATATATATATATATATAAGTTGTTAGCATACTTAATTCATTAACATTAAAACTTCTTACTTTTCACAAAAGAGAAGTATTTTCTAATACGTATGAAATGTGTTTTTGTGTTTGTTTGTTTCAGAATTTCCGCGCAAAGCTACATAAAGGGCTATCTGTGCATAGCCGTCCCTAATTTTGAACTGATTGATTAAAGCGAAGACAGCTAGTCAACAGCACTAACCGCCAACTGTTAGGATATTCTTGCCTAACCGAATAATAGAACTTAACCGTCACTCTTATGACGTACCTCATGGCCCCAAAGGGTAGATAGCGTATGTTGTAGAAATGGACCGAGAACCATGAACCCTCAGATTCACAATCCCAAAACGTTAACTACTAGCTCACTCCCGCTCCGATTGTGAAACACTAATTATCCACAATTATTGGATAATAACATGATTTGTAACGAAGGTATTTTTCTGAATTTTAAAAATATTCTCACTATAAATTTCAAGGTTATTGTAGTGACGAATGTGTAAAGTTTGGTGGCGAGCTAGATGTTATATTACTTTATATAATATACAAATATGAAAGAGTGTGTGTATGTTAAACAGCTCTTCATTGTGTTTTTTTTTTTTTTGTTATTTCCAGCGTTTCTCCATAAAATATGCTAAACATATATAGCTTATTCAAGTTGTTTGTTGTTTATTATTAATCCCAAAGCTACACAAAGGGCCATCTGTGCTCTGCCCACCACGGGTATCGAAACCCGGTTTCTAGCGGTATATACATACCGCTGTGCCACTGGGGGGGGGGGGGGTAGCTTATTCAAAGTAACATTCCCATGGATTTTTTTATGAATTTGACTTGCGTGTCATAAAACAAAACCAAAACAAGATGATATTTTTATGTCATAGATATGCTATTCTAGCTGTTAAAAAACACCATTATATCAAATCCGTACTGCGTCCAGGTGAACAAAAAGAAATTCATCATGTTTCAACCAGTATCAAAACCTACTGCAGTCCAGCCGACATCGGTAAAAGTAACCATGAGTCTACCAGTTTCAAACCGTACTGCAGTTCAACCAATAACGAGAAAAGTAGCCATGTTTCTACAAATATCAAAATATACTGCGGTTCAGTCAATAACGAGAAAAGTAACCATGAGTCTACCAGTTTCAAACCGCACAGCGATCCAACCGATGTCGAGAAAAGTAACCATGATTCTACGAGTTTTAAACCGTACTGCGGCCCAGCTGATCAGGTGAAATGTCGTCATGCTTCAACTGCCGTCAAACCGTACCGTAGTCCAGGCAATCGGAGGAATAGTCGCCACGTTTACTTTCAAGTATGATTTCCTCTGTACTGAAGAAAAATACACTTGGTTGGACGTTGCTATATACAAGCTTTATCGATTTGCGTTTTGTTTTTTCCCCACTGCTTCAATTGTAAAAATGGGTGTTAAATAGATATTGTCTTTCTGCACATCTGTAAACAATATTTCTAACTGCAAAACGATTTGGTTTTTTGAATTTCGCGCCAAGCTACACGAGAGCTATCTGCGTTAGCCATCCCTAATTTAGCAGTGTAAGGCTAGAGGGAAGGCAGCTAGTCATCACC